AAGAAGAAGATAGTGCTGGTCATCTCCAGGTTATGTGTTCGCCAGAGCTTTGTTCCAATGGGCGTCTCGTGGAATTACATGAAAGTCATGACAGTTCTGTTCTTGCCGATCTGCCAGGGCTCCAGGGGGTAAAAGCGGATGACAATCCTTTTCAAACATAATAAGAAAAACACAGAAAGGAGAAGTTATTGTTTTACAACGAACTATCCCTACCCAGTGGGCAGTAAGCAAGAAACTGTGCACTAAGCTCTCAGCAACTCCCACCTCAAGGCATTCATTTAACAGAAGCAAATAGCGGCTGTGCACGGGCAGCATTCAAACGGGTGGCCAAGGCTGCCCACATAAACAGAGAAGCGGGCTGGGTTTGAACACTGCAGGTGGTAGCTGTCTGCTTCAGAAGCACCCAGCATCTCGCACTCTGCTCATGCGCTTAGCACAAGAGAATTCCCTTGGGAGGGCTGAGGGAGGCAGGACTTACCTTCAGGAACAACCTCGCTGCAGCCCTTTGCCTGGCTCATTGTGCAGCTCTACAGAACACCACTTAGCGCTCGCGTTTTGTCCCAGCTGTGCCAAACACGCAGCGCAAGGTGCTCCAGGCTGGTCAGAGTGCACAACCCCCTCCACGTCTTTACCTGCACGGGCTCCTAACCCGCCCGTGGGCACTCGCCATCCAGGAGCACTTCACCTTTGCCGCCTAGTCCCGGCGCTCTGTTAGCGCTGGGTCCCATGGAGAACGGGGCCACTCACATCACCGGGCCTCCTGACACCTCCCGGGATGCCTTCTGGTGCATCCCACACACTCACACATCCCGACGCTGCCAGGAGCTGGAGCGCAGAGCGGCTGCGGGGCCAGGGCCAGCCCCACACCTGCCTCTCCCCTTCCGCGGGGATTTTCAGTGCCCAAGCGCAACCGCACCCCCATGAGGAGGGCAGGAGAAGGGAGAAGCCCTTCCCGGGGGGCCGGGGCTGGCAGGGCCCGGGCCGCACTCACCGCTCGGCGCCGAGGCCCAGCTCGGCCGTGAGGAAGTCGAAGAAGCGGGCGCTGTGCGCGCGGTTCTGCTCGGCCGAGCCCACCACGCCGATGGAGGAGACGAGC